TATTTGATGCAATTAATTGAGTCACTATTAAAACATATAAATAATTGAGTCATAACACAATTATTTTTGAGGATTTTAGAAATTGAGTCAACAGCAAAATAATTTACGCCATATGTATATGTTTAGGTATAGTATTTATTAATTTTTTAATCTTATTGAATGCAATACTATTTCAAGCCATAATAATTACCTCTTCTAAATCAATTTTATTATGTGGTTTTCAGTTTGCGTAAATCCAGATATTAACTTCCCACTATATATTTTTAATAAGGCTAAAATCTGATGATTGTGGGAGCCACTTTATTGTTTTGATTTTAAGCTCAGTCTTAATTTCTTGCACAAGTTTACACTTGTAAATAGATGCATTATCTTCTTGTAAGATTGTTTTCTCAATAGATAGAATTATTGGATATACAATATCCAAAATAAGATCACCATATTCTATTACTTTTATATTAAATAAAGTACAAATTAAATGACGCAAATTGTATATATTTACACATCCCCAAATCATAATTGATTTATATCCACCTTTAACTATCACTTGCATGCAATTTGGATTATAAAGTTCATTTTTATAACATCAAATTCGAATTTTTCCACTTGAATTGGTACTTATAGAAGATTTATCAGTTCATAAAATTTGTTTCCAGTCTTCTTTAGTTCAATTTTTATGTGCTCTAGCCCATTTTAACCATTTTTAACAATTAGCTTCGCTTATCATGTGTTTCTTACATGCAATATAAGATTTTATATCATTTCTTTTTAATTTTCTTATTAAAGTGCATGTAGACATTGGAATTTGAGTTCGGTGTAAAATTTCAGCAGTAAGTAAATGTTTTAGTATTTTTCTTAATATAGGATCTGCCTTAATTTTTTTTATAATTCTTTGTTCAAGATGTTTTTTGATAATTGACTTGTGTTTACTATTTCTTCTTTTTAAGTAACTTGTATGATTGATTAATTTCTATTGACTAATACAGTTTTTAACTGCTGTCACCGATTGTCTGATTATTCAGGAAATTTTTGCAAAAGACATGCCTTTTTTTCTTAATATCTTTATTGTGTGATGTTCTTCTTCTGTTAAATCTTTTTTACAACTCATTTTTGTTTATTACACAAATTTTTTGTGTCATTACTTATTTAAATATATAAATGAGACAAAAGAATTTTTTTTTATTATTACGAACAATTAAGTAAGTACATAACTAATGCTTTATTATTATGATCTATGTTTTCATTTGTGTGTAATTATTTTGCTATTATCCTAATGTGGTGTCACCTGTCTGTAGATCAATGATACAACTTGCTAAATTGGAATCAATTATAACTTGCAATCAAATTTGTAACAACATGATGATGCAACAAATATAAAAACTTAATTGACAAGGAGAAACCAATCAATGGCACTCACTAATGAATTGCTTTATAGAAATTGAAAGCTTGGGACGAAATATGAACGACCGTATCACGTGACTCGACCGTACAATGCATCAGATTGAAGAAAACGGCACATTGCATTACACGATAGTGAAACGTAGCACGAAGCGAAGGATATTACTGTAACGCAAAGATACCATCATAGCACAAGGACACTACCGTACTACCGAAACGACGCCATATACTCCGGATGCCGAAGTACCACTGGAACGACACCAGATATACCCAATGCCGCCGTGACATAAGGTCGCCACGGCACCGTCGGAACTCCAGAATATGTCCGGAATGCCATAACATAGGCCAAACTTGGGTTATGCTCCGGACACCGCAATAACACCAGAACACCGCAATATACCTCGGACGCCACCATAGTACAAGGATGCCACGATATTATCAGAATTCCGCAATATACCCGGATGCCGCCGCAGTATCGCCGGGATGCCAGAACAAGTGCTGAATGTTGCTGCAATATACGATTGCCGTAGCACTGCTGGGACGCCGTCATAACACAAAGTTACCGCTATAAGCACCGGATGCCGCCGCAATATACGATTGCCACAGTATCGACAGGACGCTCTGCAAAAGAAGTCGCCACTTGAAGTGCCGGATGCCGCCGCATCAACGGGACGTCGCCACAGCACGAAGTTGTCGCTACATGCGCCCAGTGCCGCCTTAACACGAGGTCGCCGCCGCATCGAAGGGATGCCATGTATGCGCCGGATGCCGCTGCAACGTAACGCCGCAGCATCGACGGGAATGAGATATTGTCACTGGAACGCCGCTGCATAGTACTATACAACATGATGTAATGACTCCGCAACACGGAACGCCACCGTACAACATGTTAGATAGAATGCCACGACGTGATACACCGCCATATAACGTGCCGCAAAACATGAAGCCACAGTATTATACGCCACCGCGCAACACCGTACAACAGTCCTTATCAACGCCACAGTAAAAGACGCCGCCGTTTCCATTATATCACTAGCCGCCGCAACGTTAGCCACCAGCCACAGCATTTCGCCGCTGTTGTTAACGCATAAAACGCCGCCATATTCACCGCCACCACAACCATAGTGCGCCGCAACGATTTCTGCCGCCGCCACCAGCTACAGTGCGACAACGCAACTTCTGCCGCATAATATGCTATTACAACCGCCGCTATGTGCCGCATGGAAACGCCACTTATGTAGATCGCGCCGCAACGTTACACGAAGCGTATAACGTTATGATACTATCAAAACGCGAAGCAAAATGCCGCCAAGACCAAAGGAACGCCGCGAAACGTAACACGGACGATGCCACAATAATCTACAAGCCTCGCTACTAGCCATAGTAGATGACGCCACACTAGCCACACTCTTTTTATAAGTCGCATCTTCACCTAATTATGTTAAAATGGCCAAAAAATTTTTTGAGGTCATCAAGGACAATAACTTCTTAAGGGGGGAGAATGTAACAATACTATTGGCGAAGTAAGTGACACAAAGTGTGTTATACAAGTGGCATGAATAAATCAATGGAAGGAGAAATACTCTAGGAATACAATGGTTTAATCTATATCTCTCTAGGACATCTGGAACTTGAAATATCTTGAGTTAATAATTCTTTATTATACCTAGGACATGTAACATATACAGTGTGAATGGGAAAGGTATAATGAGGGATGAATGCATAATGTGATCCATGTGTCATATGTCTAAAACTCAGAAATGCTATATTGAAAATAAAGTAGTTTATATGATAATCTATTAGTAAGTTTAAAGTTTAAATCCATAATGTCAGCGATAGTCTATTTTAGTATAGCATTAGACTATAAAAGAACAATGTACTCATGAAAAAGAGAAAGGTCAAATTGAAAATTAAACAAGAAAAACAGAACATCCAGAAGTATTGCACTTTATAGTGAGACTATTAATTAAAAATTGCTAAATTAGTAGTGTGATCAATGATACCAAAGAAAGGAATTTTCGATTAATAAACTTATCTCATTTAGTACTGCTAGCTTGGAAAGAAAATAATCTGAAGGGCCGTGAAGGAACAGTAACAAAGATTATTAGTAAAAGCGTAAGGATGAGAAACAAGAGGAACAATAGTTAATAGAAAACTTGACCAAATCAAATCATATGTCTCAAATAAAAAAATCTACTTACTTGAGTGTTATGTGAGTACTGGTTTTGAGAAGTAACAGATTTGCCGAAAACCATATTAACAACAGGTAATATTTAGTATATTGTATATGACATGTAATACTAAATCCCAAAAGGTATTTAATATTATAATAGTATAAGTTTACAAATACCAATAGTTCTATTTTATTTTATTTTTAGTTTTTCTAATTATTGTATTAATAAGAGATTTTAAAGGTATTAGGATAATTAGAATGAAACACTAGTTTATTATTTCATTTTTTTACTTTATATTATATGCATATGATCTTCAGAGAACCAATAAGATTATATGTACTATTTTAGACTTATATTTCTATTTTATTTATTTATATTAGAAAAACATATATAGATGGTGATTATTATTATGTGGATATTTTTAAAATGGCAAATTTTTTTTAATTATTTTAACTATTTAAGGTAAAATAATAATTTATTAAATTGATCAAATTAAGATGAAAAAAAAATACCTATATATTAATATTTTGTTGCATTTCTATCTGTTACAATTATGGCTTTAATATGATAAGACATATTATCAATCAATTTTTTGTAATATTCAGAAGGAAGTTCTTTTCATATTTGCTTGACATATTGTTTAAGTTCTTTAAGGTTTGATGATAGTGGGTATGATAATGAATCATGATTTTCATTTTTGTCCAAAGTTTTTTTATCAACTTTAAATCTGAACTTTGGGCAGGCCATGACAATATCACAATTCCAGCTTTTTAACATGCTTCTTTAGTAATCTTTGAATAGTGTGGAGTGGTATTATTTTTTTGGAAGATTTTGTCACCATGAAAAAAATATTTATAAAGCATAGGTATCACATGATGTTTGATTGTTTTAGTATGTATAATTTCAGTAACTGAGCTGTGTAAAGGAATAACAGAACCAAGTCCAGATTACAAAAAACATCTCCAAAACATTAAGCTGGAACTGTATTTCACAGTAGCAGCAATACAAAATAGATAAAACACTTCATTTAGTTTATACCATACCTTTTCATTATATTCTTATTGGAATTGCATAAAAGTACTTTCATTGAAAAAAAGAAACTTTCTCCATTGTCTTAATATCTAATTTTTGTATATTTTTGTTTACTTCAAATGTTTTTTATGGTTTTTTTCTGAAATTGTGGATTTTTTTCGTGGTATGCAAGCTCTAAGTTCAAGTTTTTTGAGGTTATAGCATATAATAATAGCAGAGATAGGTTTCTTTAAATAAAGTGATCAAACACTTGCAAGTTGGGCAGTGGAAAGCCATCGGTTGTTTTCTTTATCATCTTGCATAAAATTTTTGAGTTCTTGAAGATCAGAAAAAGCAAGAAGGGTAATTTGCCAGTTTGTTTCTTGAGTAATACAGAACCAGTTTCGCAAAATTGCTTGAGTATCTTATATATAGTTGTTTTACTACATTTGACCTGTTTGGTGTGGTATGACCTGAGTGACCATATTCATAACCATAAATAATCACTTTACGTGTTTCAAGTAATACAGATTTTATTGTTTCTATTTATAAGTTGAAGCAAAAAAAAAAAAATCAGATAAATAATTAGATCAGTGTTTATATAATGGATCTTAAGCAAAATAAATAATTATTTTATTTTTTTTTTTAATTAAATTTAATAAAAAAAAATGTCTGCATAATAATGATTGCTGTCTATATATAAAAAAGTACTTTTTCCTTTAGGAAATAATGGAGTTGTCTGATTTCTCTTATATTTAATAAAGTTTTTCTTTATTAATTATAAACAATGCCTTGTTTATAACTTCTTTAACATAAAATATTATATGTCATAATATGAAATGTTACAAAATTTTTGTAGGTAGTTTTTTTTTGACTTTATATTTAAAAAAAATTTTTTTAATAGTATAAAACATTTAAATTATATTTGTGCCTTTAATTTAAGAACCTATCTTTAATTATAATATTGTCTTAGATATCATTATCTTAAATAAATATAAATATTGTTATTGAGAATAACTTCAATCCAGACCTATGGGTCCATAGCACAGTAGTAATGCTCTATAGGTTACCAGGAGAAGATTTAGAGTTCAACCTCACCTGGTTACAAAAAGAATTTATCACCTTCATGATTGGTTAATTGGCTTTCAATTCATGTCGTACCCAATCAGCCGACAAATAATCAATTCTCCAAATTTAATTAGGTTGCATGAAGATGGGACCTCTGGTCTTCCTGATGATTGTGGGCTGAAAACAGATCAAAGCAAAGAAGGTTGTATGAGGAAAGGCTTCTGGTCTAACTCCGGTAATAAGCCCACAAAAATTCCAACCCAAACTGGTGACGGCAGACTCCATCACACAACATAAAAAGATTAATCCTAAGCTGATCTATCCCAATCTGGAGCTTGTAGATCTATCCCAATGGTGGTGTTCCACAGAACTTAATTATATGGCCAAAGGACAAGGTATCAGCTACAGGTAATAAGAAGACTAGACAAAAATCGTTAAGTCAAGTGAGTCTAGTGAGATTCTACAAGATTAAATCAGAATCCAAGCAAGAATGCCAGTTCCACAGGTGGTAAAAATAGTAGTGCGACGCTATGCTAGTGGCACATCTCGAGGATCAGTGATAACAGATAATTGGAATTCTGGAGTTAGTCTTTATAATAATATTCCATACACACTGCTTCCTGCAATAATGGACCAGCAGGTTTAGGCAGGTTTAAACTAGTAGTAGAATTCCCCCCCTGCGAAAGTCCCACCTGATGTATGGACATATCTCCTTGGTGTTTAAATGGACATATAGTTGGGTAATAGTGGTTAGTGTAGCTAGTCTTATAGTAATATATGTACTAGGCAGTGTTAACTTACAGATTAACTATAAAGATATAAAGGGTATTCTGTACCAACCAATCATCAGTTAACCTGTAAAGACACTTGGTGTCTATCTGGATATATAAATGTATCAATAAAAATTACACACCATGTATACATTCCACTATAAAAAAAATAATAATAATAAAATAACTTCAATCCAGATAATTATTGTTAATACCATATGTAATAAACCTTTTTGGAATTTTATTTATGTAACATAAATATAAATAACTTTTTCAAAACAAAAACAATTTATATGAAATTTTAAACATGTAAACAATATATCTTAACAAATATATATATACTATTAAATTTCTCAACTTGTTTTATTTTTTTTATAAACTTATTCTTACAATGTTATTT